TACTTTTCTCTTACTTTTCCCCTCCTACATGGATAGTATAAATAAATGCCAGAGATGCCTCGACTCGGTGGCTTTTCTTCTCCCAGAGTCTCTGGTGGTGGGTGCTCTTGGTGATGGAACCAAGTTTCATCCTAGACTACTCTTTTTATCTTGTATGCTGTCTACAATCACTCACTGCAACACAGTAGAGTGAAACTATTTCACCAAATATAAAAACTAACTCAAAATGGATCAAAGACCTAAATATAAAATCTGGCACTAAAAGCCACTGGAAGAAAATGGAAAAAACTTCAACACATTGATACAGATGAGAGAAGGCAAAGGCATGGCACACAATGCCACAGCAGTCTGTTTAGATCACTGAACGCTTTATAAAGTTCACCATCACTAGTACAGACAATGCTCTTTTGGGACAAAACCCCTCCGAAGCAAAAACTGACAAATGATATTATAACATAGTTTGTATATAGAAAACATACAAATGAACTACCTGAAGAATAAAAGGGGGCCAGGGAGATGGCTCAGTAGAATAAGCGCTTGCCTGGCAAGTGTAAAGGCCTAAAAGAAAATACTTACAAACTATTTGAGAAATGATTAATATCCAGAATATACAAAGAACTCAAAAACTTTAGCAGCAAAAAAAAAGCAAAAAGCTAAATAATCCATTTTAAAATGGACAGTGGATAGGCACTGGCAGAGGACATGCATAGCATGTACAAGGTTCAATGCAGCAGTAAAAAAGAGATAGGTAACATAAAAATTGGCAAATGATAGGTTCTGGATACAGCTCAGTGCAAGTGTGCTTGCAAGGTCTCGCATTTGATCCCTAGCGACACACACACACATGCTCAAATGCTTTTTTATTTTGGTGGAACCGGGGATTGACCTCAGGCCCTTGTACTTGCCAGAGAAGTGCTTATTCCACTGAGCCATCTCCCAGGGCCCCTCAAACGATCTGAGTAGCTATATCTCAAAAGAAGACAGTAAAATGGCTAACAGGTAAGTGAAAAATGTTCGACTACCATTAATCATCAGGGAAATACAAGTCAAAAACTACCACAAGATATAATTTCATGTCACTCATAATGGATTAATAAAAAAGGCAAACACCCCAAAAAAACAAAAAACACCAAATTCTCACAAAGACACAGAGAAAGGAGAATTATTATATTCTATTGATAGAGATGTAAATAAGTATAGCTATTATAGAGAACAAATGAAAATTCCTCAAAAACTTAAAAAGTGCAATTACTATATGATCTAGTTATCCAAGCACTGGGTATATACCCAACATAAGCAAACTCAGCACATCAAAGATGTACCTATATTCCCATATTTAATGTAGCATATATGTAATAGGCAAAATGTGGACTCAATCAAGGTGGCCATCAAACAGAGAAAATGTAGAAATACATATATCCAATAAAATATAATTCATCCACAATAAAAAGATGAAATCTTGTCTTTGAGAAAATCAGGATGAACCCAGAAGACATTATGTTAAGTTAAACAGAAGACAACCACCGTAGAAGGCAGGAAGATACCAGACAGCTACTGGACCTGGGCAGTCTGATGTGTACCCACCACCAGCACAGGAACTTTGCTAACATGTGGGTCAGGCCCCCAACAATGACAGAAGTCTTGAAGAGCTATGTCCCTTCCTCATTATGAAAGCCTTACAGATCTATGGCTCACCACCATCATCCTTGGAGCCTTCCTGAGCTATAGCATATCCCACTTCACTGTGATAGAAGCTAAGCTGAACCCCACAGAGTGGTACTTTTGGTGAACCTACCCAACTCCCCCACTGTCAGGGGAGTGTTCCTGATGGTGAGCCCTATGACCTCAATCACTGCTGAACCTGAGTGAACATGGGGGGCTTTAAAAATGTTAAATGGGCAAAAGTCAATCTCAGACCTCCAGTCCACCCAGAACAAGTCAAAGAGACAAGGACACAAAAGAACGTGGAAACCACACATCTGAAATTTCTGAAATGATAGCAACTGAGACAAACAACTCCATCATGCTATCAGATCAGAAAGAATCTCTCAGGTAAAAAAAAAAAAAAGAAGAAGAAATGACAATAATCATGAAAAGATTGCTCAGCACATCTAAAGGTGGCACAGATTTAAAAAAAAAATAGAAAACAAGAATGATGGAAATATTGAACAAACAATACAGGAAAGAATTAGAATGCATGAAACAGATTCAAACAGACATCCGGTAAATTAATGACTTCCAGTGAGGCTGGCAAAACTGCTTGAATGAAACTGAAAGGGCTGGGGATATGGCTCAGTAGGATAAGCCCTTGACGGGCAAACGCCAGGATCTGAATTCAATCCCCGGTTCCGCAAAAAAAAAAAAAAAAAAAAAGAAAAGAAACTGAAGATAGACTTTCAGACTTTGAAGACAGCATGGCAGTTACTGAATACAAAAGGAAAGATCTTTTAAAAATAACAAGAAACCAGGAAATAACAATTCAGTAGCTGCAGGATGATGTGAAGAAAAACAATGTAAGATTGGCAGGTGTCAAGGACACAGCAGGTACCAACACAAATGATTTAAAAAGACTATTTGCAGAAATAGCAGAAAATTGCACAAGCATTGGAAAAGAATCTGACATATAGTTAAGTGAGGCATTTACAACTCCAGATAGCATAACCAAAATAAATCTGTACTAACAATCAAGACTCCAGAAATCCAGCAAGAAAAACATATTAAAAAGTTGTTAGTGCGCCTGTAATCCCAGCACTTGGGAGGCTGAAAACAGGAGGACCACTATGAGTCTGATCTGTGTAGTGAGACCCTGTAGTAAAATAAAATAAAGTTGTTAGAGAAAAAAATCAGATCACCTACAATGGAAAGCCCATCAGAAGCCTGGCAATTTCTCAATACAAACCATCAAGTCAAGAAGACCTTAAGCCAAATACATAAAAAAGGAGCTTAAAATGAAATATTTCAGGTTCTAAGAGAAAACAGCTTTCAACCTAAATTGATGTAACCTGCAAAGTTTCTATCAAATTTAATGGAAAGTAAAGGTACTTCCATGACAAAGAAATGAAGAAATTCATGACCACCAAACTAACCCTACAGAGAATACTGACAGATATTCTAGAAAGAGACAGAAATGACAACTTCAAGAACAAAAGCAGAAAAGATCCACCAAGCACAACAAGCAACTAAACAGAGGGGAAAGGCAGGGAATATAGGGAACCTACAGCAGAAAAATAACATGACAAAGATAAGCCAATACAGTTTTAAACATTAATGTAAATGGACTCAATTCACCCGTCAAAAGAAGCAGACTGGCGGAGTGGATCAAGAAATAAAATCCCAAAGTATGCTGTGTCCAAGAAACACATTAACTCAAAAGGAAATTCACAGACTAAAAGACACAGGAAGGGAAACAACACTCCATGCAACAGGAGCCCAGGAAAAAAAGGGGTAGCTATTTTGGTTGATAGCTACCAAAATAGCATGTGAACGTCAAACCAAAAATGATTAAAAGAGATAAATAAGGTCACTACATACTTGTTAGGGAACAACTACAAAAGGAAGAGACAACAGTATATCCAATGTAGGAGCACCCAAGTATATAAGACAAATTTTGACAGACATGAAAAATCACATCACCAGTAATTGTAATGGGGGACTTTGACACTCCACTGTCACAAAGAGACAAATCAACTAGGACAAAAGAATCAGCAAAGAAATAACAGAACTAAACCAAACTTGTAAAAAAAAACAAACTTAGTAGACCTATAGTATTTTACCTAGTAATGTCAGAATACACATTCTTCTCATCTGCACAGGGGATGTTCTCCAAAATAGACCATATCGCAGCATACAGAGCATGCGTAAGTAAATGCAAAAGAACTGATATTATCCTATGCATATTATCTATCATGTAATGAAACGGGCAATTATTGACAAAAGAAATAGCAAAAACTCCATAAACATATGGAAATTAAATAACACCCTCCTGAATAATCAAGGAGTCATCGATGAAATTAAAGAAGTTAAACAATACGTATAATCAGATGATTGTACATATTGTACAATTTCCAGCTACAATTTACTGGAACCTGTGGGACACAACAAAAGCAGTCCTGAGAGGGAAATTTGCAGCAATGAATTCAGAGCAGAA